GCAGTAGCCGCAGTAGTAGCAGTAGTAGTAGCGGTAGTCGTAGCAGTAACGAGCACACTACACACTACCTCAAAAGCAAACCCTCGTACGGCGAGGTCTGGGCTTAAGGGGTGTTGGCGAAGCCCTCCCGCACACAGCTGCCTGTTTTGATTTTTAAATTACTCTTTGGGGATTTTCGGCTTCAGGTGTTGGTGTCAAGACCTTCTTAGCAGCACGAGCGTTTTGCACAGTATTTGCGTTCTCGTGCCACTTCTTGGTTTAGCAGTTTTTCCCTGCCCATTTTGCAACTCCAGCTACTATCGCAGTTCGGGGCCTGGGCCTCCCCACCTTCAGCTTAGGAAAGTGAGCCCTGGCAACTTCTGCTGCCATCTCAGTTAAGCAGTGTATGGAGCCTAGAAGCTGCAGCTGCTCAGCCCAGATTTGGTGAGCGTAGTTGGGAGGGGCGGTGGCTACTAGCAGCAGCAGCAGCAACAGCAACAGCAGCAGCAGCAGCAGCAGCAGCAGCAGTACAGTAGTATAGGTCCGTTTGAATCCTCACGTCAGATCGTCCTCATTATCTTCCTCATCGGTGTCGCCAACATCATCATTATCATCATCATCATCATCATCAGCAGCAGCATCGCGATTGCATGGCAAGAGCGGTGAGACGGACTAGCACCATGGCTCTTCCCTCTCTGACTATGGCAGAACACCTCCTCGACTGGGAAGGGAAGTCTGAGGAAAATCCTGGGTGCGGGAGTCTGTCTCTTCCGGCTCGGTATCGCTGGTTATTCAGATCCTGCTCTTCCCTCCTTGTGCAGCTGAACATTGCCGACCTTCTTGGCCCTCTGGCAACACTTTCGAATTCAGGCAGATGATTGGCACTGGCTTTGGCTCGGATTGACGTAGTTGTGTTCTGTTGTTACGATGCACGATGCTTGGAAGCCCGATCAATCCTGAGGAATGATGCCGACAAGCTTTGATCCGCAACCCCAACACCAAACCCTCTTCTACTACCCAGCTCAGGATCCAAAATTCTTTACCGCAGGTGCCGTCTCCCCACCACATGCGCAACTTTCTGAGCCCGTCTTCATAGACCAAGGGAATACAGCAGAGTCTTAGCCATTACCCGCGGAACTATGTGTTCTCAGTATAGGAGGCCCTTGACGCTCCAGACTCAGCAGCCGAAAGCGGGCTCCAACCAGCCCACCGTGCCAAACAGCGCCCCAAATGCCCGGAAAGGGATCCACGCAATTGACCTTCAAGCTTCTGATGTTAGTGGCGTGCCGGTATTTTTTGAAGGGGTCCGTTCGAGGGTCTCTGCAACACATCATGTTGGTGACTCTTTGGTCTTTTGCTTGCTGTGAGACTTGACATCTTGCCATATCACACGGAAGGACTGCATCGGCTCCTGAAGCAGTCAGTGGAAACTGATACTAACAGTGGCATCGGCAACAACAGCTAGCAGGGCAATCGACATTATCAAGAGTATTATCCATTTTGCGAACGATAAAATGACCAACAACAAATCTTAACCCGTTGTCGCCGTGGTCGTCGTCGTCCTCCTCCTCCTCCGCCTGCTGCTCCACCTCCTCCTCGCCGTCGTCACCATAGTCGCAGTATGGGTGTTAGTGATGCTAGTGAGTACGGCTCTCGTTCTTGTTCTTGCTATTGCTGGTGTTCTGATTCTGCTTCCTCTACTTCTCATTCTCGTTGCTTGTGCTATTGTTACTGTTGTTGTTCGGCTCTTCTTCTTCTTCCTGTTGCTGCTGCTGCTGCTGCTGTTGCTGCTGCTGCCGCTGCTGTTGCTGATGCTGTTGCTGATGCTGTTGCTGATGCTGTTGGTCGCATGATGGTTGTAGTTGGTGTAGTTGTCCTCGTTGTTGTCGTTGTTGTTGGTGGCGGCAGCAGTGGTCGTCATTGTTGTCCTGGTCCTGGCCATTCCTGGTCGTGCTCGGGCTCGCACTGACTATCAGCAGCAACTGCATCACCATTGTTGTCATCATCACCAGCGTCATTGAGATGGCAAAGAGTGCAATGATCTGGGTCGCCGTGTTTGTGACTGTCGAGGGCGCACAGACCTTTGGAACAGCCGTAGCAATGCCCTGGTGGATTGGGCATCCTGCCTGAAATAATGTGGCGGCTGCATGACAACCACGCGCGCGCGTACCATCCTCGCTTGAGAGAAAACGCAGCGCACACTCTCCACGTAACAGACAGGCCAGTCGAGCTTTGATCTTGATCTGAGTCGGCAGCAAATTGCTATGCTCGCAGCACTTTGACTGTCAACACCTTGCAAAGGTGAGCATGTGGCCTTTGGGGAAGGCAGCACTGCAGCTTGCGAATATTGAGTTGGGATCTTGGAATTTACAGCTTCATCTTTTCGGGTCGCTAGGGAGTCTGTGACGCGCATGATCCATGTCTGTGGCAGAGGGTTAGAATGGCTTCAGACGGCGCAGCCTGCCAGGCCTCGATCTAACGAATGATCACACTCTGACTGCCGCCCGGAAGAGATGCTGCCACGACCGACAGGTGCGGTTCACTGTTACCGACTGGGTTGGAAGAAACTGCTGTGCGGTCCCTTGCCTGGTCTCTCTGGCACTGGTCCACAAGCTGGGCGACATCCTCGCGGACACCATTCACCTGTTCAGGCGATCTAGCTGCTAGCCTTAATGGCTTTGCCGGCAGCTGACTAACGAGGATCGCAGTGGGATGCGGGACTCTCGCCCGCAGACCGCTGTCGCAAAGGGAAGTGCGCACACGATTGGACCCGAGACATGTGCAGCTCGCACGTTGTTTTTCAGCTCGCAGACTGGCACAGGCCTGCTCCTTCGGGGGCACTCCGCGTCTCGGCCCAGGACAAACAGGACTTCAGCGAGCTCTGCACTTCAGGCTTAAGCTCTTCTTTATTTATTCGTTCTTTCCACCGGGGCACTGAAACGTAGGAGGCCAGAGGGTCGGACATTCTCTTCACTTTAGAAGACAGAGGCCGGCCCCACTTCTGCACTTTACGCCACCGAGGGTTCAAGCAGCACCTCAAAGCTGGACCCGACAAGCTCACCCTCCAACCTAAAGACTATTTTCAGTCCGCGAGACTTGTCCATAGACCGCAGCTCCGCAGTGCCCCGCGGCCGGCTTTTGCCTTCTCGGAGTCGAGCATGTGGCAACGGCGTGGCAGGGCCTTCCTCGACAGCTTGGGCGAGAGTGCAGGAGGTGCTTGGGTTTTCCAGGTGGGCAAACCGTTCCCCCAGGTAACCGCTCGGTACGACTCAACATCGGAAGGCATAGCAGAACCGTGCCCCACCATTCAACCGTTTGACAATTTTGCGCAGAGTTCAAAGTCGATTCCTCCGTTCACAAGAAGTCTCTCTTCCCCCATGTAACCGCGCTGTATGCAGAAGGGCATGGGCATATCACATCCATGGTCAACATAGCGCGAGGAGGAAGGATTGTATGTTCGGCACCGATCAAGGTGGCAAAGACCCGCCCCTTTGGCAACATAATCGGCGACAGAAGAGCTACGATGAGCTACGTAGTAGGTATCATCTCATCTTTGCTCCTTTCTGCCCAACTGATTCCGTAAATCGCTTATGCCTACACTACGGTAAGCTGCAAAGCTTCACCAACCGACACTCCAACAGATGTCCAACCACCCGGAAATTGAAGTAGAGTGGCGTTACCAGTGTGACAGGGGCATGTTACGACTCATGGCTCTATGCACGGATCTGATGAGATGTGTTACGACTTCGATAGTGCCCTGCATGGGGGCAGTCACACGATTCTCCACCCACGTACCCGGCCTGGTTGTTGGGCTTGTCCACCAGAGCGTGCTTCCAGGACTCACCTGTGAAATGAGGCTTGTCATACACCTCTTTTAACTGAGATCACTGCCGATTTGCCTAGTTGCACCTGTTAAAACCAATGTCTGACAAATGCCCCCTTTCGGCTTCCCCGGCCCATTCAATGACGTCGCTGAAAGTCGCAGCGCTGTCGAGTCAAGAAGGTCTCCTCTGCCGTGGAGCAGCTCCGTTGTGTCCGCAGAATGTGGCGACAGCCCCCTCGGAAACCATCGGGGCCAGCTCAGACTCAGACCGCCTCTTCAACGCTCGGGATCCTCCGCCGCCTCCGCCTCAAGCTCGCGTGAAGACAGCCGTTGGATAGGCAGCTTGCACACTCCTGCACAGATTCACGACTTTGTTCACCCACCTGCGACCAACACAAAGCACAGCACAGGATAGCAGCACAGCACAGCTGAAGCATCACCCTGACAAAGGCCAGGTCCTACATCATCCTACATCTGACAACCCTCAGTTCTTCCGTCAGAGCCCAGGCTCCTCCAAACGCCGTCTAGCTCTCGCAGAGCCTTCCGGTCGCCAGCTGTCAGCCGTCGGATTAGCGCCTGTTTGGCAACAACCAAATGCATCCAGTGGGGCACAGCTTAAGGTCCGTTGCAAGTGTCGCCTACGCAGATGCACCAGTCCTAGATGTCGCACCGTCTGGTGCCACGGGCTAGCATCCTAGGTCCTAGACTCGCTTTCCAGCGCGCAAAAGGGGGACCAAGCGGAATGATGCAATGATCTTGGGGTCCATCAGTCCCAAGGCACTCCGCAGCGAGATATATGCAACTTGTCTCGATCCACCCATGCAAGCCAAACTCCACTTCGAAGCTTTCCAAATGAGAATGCAGGGCTTGGGGCCAACAGGCTCCTACATTTCAATAGCAGAGTCTGTCGCATTGGACCCTGCATTCAATAGGACAGACTTGGCCTCCAGGGCGACGAACTCCTTGGTGTCAACCTGACGCCGCGGCTAGGTTCGGGCTCTGGCAGGCAACAAACATGAGGAATGATAAAAGTTTGTCACTGTTCTCCGGAGCTTCGACATCCGCAGTATCTGCATCGAAGATGTGTTGCACACCAGTGGACATCAACATTCGGGGTCGTGCAGGAGGAGGCCATATGTCCAGATACGCACTGCTCCGAAAGGTTTCGCTGACAAAGGAACAAACTTTGACAACTACAGACGCATCGCAGAGATGTTTTGCTGTCGAGGTGCCGGCTGCGGTTTCAGGCTGCCGGATGCCACTTTGGGATACAGCTCCTCATGTCAGGTGAGGACAGCTTTAGAGTCTGCAGAAATGTCGCGACATTTATTGCCCAAACACGTCCGAATCGAATGCAAACAATGGCACTGCCACAGGCGGGACCTAGAGCCCAAAGTCGCAGTCCACAGAAATATCATCAGACTTTCACAGGAGCTTGAAAGCAATGAGCAAATAGGCTCTACAAGCACTGCCTCAGCCTGACGACCTAACTCCGCAAAACCATAATGCGTGCTTCCATGCATGCGTGTTCAAAGTGCGTCCTGAGGATCTGGGTGCCGGAAGTCGGACTCCTGATGCCCCGAGGCCGGATACATCATCGGGCTCAGCGAATCACAGCCCAAAGCTTCTCCGATCATGACCTCTAAACCTGGGGACCCGCGTCTTCCCTCCAGAGCACCGACCTTCAACTTTTGGATGTCCGCGACCTCAGCGATTTTACTTGGGGCCTGTCGGAGTGCCCAGTGGCTAGGCCGCTAGGCCAGACCACGCTAGACCAAGCACCCTGGACTAAGCGAGAACTGCAGTACTGCATGCATTCCCACCGCGCTGCCCAGTCACCTCTGCCCACATAGCACCAACACTCTCCTTTGCTTGCGAGTTTTGCATTCAAATCATTCCGCGACTGCAGAAACAAGCTCTCGAGAATCCGGACACGAAGTCTTGGGAAAGAAGCCCAGTCGGGAACGCTTTTCGGCTCGGCGTGGGCGTCATCCTGGAGGTGCGCAGCTCGCGGCTTCAAGCCACCCAACTGCCCTTCCCAGGTCCTCGGGCTCGGCCAGGAAGACCGCGCGCAGAGTGTGGTGGCTGTCGACCATCAGGCGCAGCAGCCCTGGCCACTTGCCGGTCTCGGGGTTTGGGCTTTCGGCTGTGGAGTTCAGCGATTTGGAATTGGGGGGGCTTTGCAAGCTGCGGCGTGCGTGTTGCTGCTTGAGTGGGCGTGTTAGGCCTGTTTCCGAGCTGGAATCGAGAGGACACGTGACATGTGAAGACGGCATGCATCGGGTAGCCGGCCTGTGACTCTCACAGAAATGCCGGCTTCCTCCAATGCCTCACGCCGGCAGGCCTTGCGGCAGGGAAGAGCGGACTTTGAGGCTTTCGGCGAAAGCGGAAGACGAGTTGGCTGATGCCGGGAGCACGGGGCCAGGGCCGTACAGGTGAGAAAAGCAAACCATCCTCTTCAAAAGCTCTGTATGTGCACATGACATCCCCCTAAAACTTACAAATCACTGGCGCAAGCCCGGTGAAGTGCTCCGAAAAAAAAATACACCGGGAATAAAATACTCGGGAAGATGAAATGAAGGGGAACGTTGCCGGGGGCCCCGGGGCCTCTTGCAGCGACTCTCCGCGGTCGACGCGGCCGGCAGGCAACCAGAAGTTGGGTCGGCCCCCTGGTGTGGTGTCTGCTGGTTTCGAAAGCTTAGGGGTTTTGGATGGTTTTGGATGGTTTTGGATGGTTTTAGTATGCCTGTGGCTTGTCGGGATTTCAGGCTTCGGATCCGAGATCTCTAGATTGTGGCGAGTCTGCTAGCCGACCCTGAACTAAGTTGCAGCTTGGTCTTACAACATCGGATGCCGTCATGTCGCCATTGCACTGAAGACATTCCAGCAAAGGATCGCCACATCTCTCGATGACGTCAGGATGACTTAGCGCTTGAAGAGACTTTCGAGTGCTACTCTAGGACTTGGTCGGGGTCATATTCTGTTGAGAAGTCTATCTTTTTTGCACTCGTCATTTTTTCCACCACATGCTATACATCACCTCTTCGAAACCGGGCCCCAAATGTGATCAGAGTTGTATGGGCTTTGCTCATAGGACTCGCCAAAGTTTGGTTCGTATGGTTTCGTGTTGACACGCCGTTGCTGCATGCAAGCCCAGCTTGGATACTGAACCCAGCGGCCGGCGATTCCCGAGGGCTCGTTCACGAGCCTTGGTCACATGCTTTATGAGGTCATCCTGGTCTTCGTAGTAAGTGAAAAGAAGCTGATCGCAGCCTTCCTGTGCCCAAGCCCATCCTGCTTTGCCATGGCAAAGCTCACACCGTCTGACTACACTGCTTTCGTGCAGCGTGACATCCCTGGCTTTGCGCCGGGGCACAGAAACCGACCGTCGAGTCGACGGCAAACGCACCATGCCTTACGGCCGACTGTCCGACCCATGGGTCGGCCATTTCACAATGGAGGGTACGAAGTGTGCCTTGTCATGCCAAGGCGCGAATGTCGCATAGGGAGCCCTTGGCGGCTCCCGCTCTGCCGGCCTGCAGGAAATCCAGGGCTCCAGTTTCGCATCTCTTTGCATTGCAACACGATGCCTAAGGCTTCTCAAGCAGAACGGTCACGCATGTAAGGACGCAGTCGTTAAGACCCCCTGCGTTGGTTCGAACACCCTCTGAGTCTCCCACGGGCCATGGCTGTTGTGCAGGTGAACGGCCAAATTCGACGGCCGCTCTGCACAGATTGGGCACGAATCCTTCGTCCGTTGAGATACGGCTTGGAGATGCTTGGAGGCAGCCTTGTCATCGTTCTTGCGGCTTGATTTCCAAGCGCCTCCGGGCCCGTTTGTCTGAACACACGGATGCTCGTCTGTACGTACGAATGTATGCATACAATCTACACGCATACAGACAAACATGCATACACAAATGTCAAAGCATAGACCATGTTTTTAGCGGTAGTCTGAGTCTTTCCTGCTTGGCCAAAACCTGCTCCAACGCCCTCTCTGTCAGGGGTTGCTCGGGCCACGCTTTCCCCTCAGAACCCTCGCTGTCCTCCGACACTGCGTCCACGGCATGATGGAAGTGCATGTGCAAGTGCAGCGCATTCTCCTAAATGCTTTGTGTTTAGTTTTCAGCTCGGCTGAAAGCCGGGGTCTTGGAGGTGGAGAAGGCGGCAACAGCACCAGCAACTCCTAACAATTTCACTGTTCTTTTGCTTTAGAGGTAGGAGCGTGGGGCGGCTTCTGTAGCGTAGTCTTTGGTCGCCCATACCTTTCACATCCAGAGCTGCGTTGAATGCGCGTTTCTGAAAGGTAGCCTATGATCGTCTTCCTTCCGTACTCAGCCGGTCAGACTCCCGCAATGGCATGGACCGCCCGTTTGCAGCCGATTCTTTCAACTGTCCTACTCTTGTGACCTGTGAGTGAACCGCAGGACGACCCTCTCCGTGCCTGTTGGACTCTTATTTCCTAGCCCTCGTGCTGCAGCCATCCCTACCGTCAGAGATCGTGCTGTGCCTTGTGCTGTCTGGCCGTCCAAACACCCGCAGCTCAATTCCCAACAGAAGCTGCAAAAGGTCAATGATTTCAAAGCTTCGCCTCACCTAGCGCTCGATCCGCTAGTCAAACCCAAAGCCAATGCCCTCTGCTCTGAAATCATCAAGTTCCCAACCCAAGTCTTCAGCCCGAAGGCCGACAGCGGGCTGAGTCCGCACGCCGTGCAGGCGAAGGGCCCGGCACTGCTGAAAACCGCAGAGACCTCCGTGCAAATATGTGGCTTCACTTTTGTTTCTTGCTGCTTTCAGCTCTTGTCCCAATTGTCTGCAAAGCCCAATGATCCTTGCTTTCCTCCAAGTCCAACAGAGTCCCCATATTGATTTCAATATCAACTCCCAGTAGGGAATGCTGGCCTTGGTCAGTGCTTCCTTTACAGCAGCGACCGACGAAGTGACCTGCCACCGTGAGCTCTTTGGGGGCCTTCCACACGTGCCTTGAGCATGGGCTGACTTTCCTCCTCCTCCTCCTCTTGCTCCTCCACCCACAACAACAACCACCACAGCCACAACCACAACTACTCCTACTGCTACTTCTACTGCCAAAGCTGAACTGTGATCCAACTCCGTTCACGCCCCAATGCCCGCCATGCGGGCTCCCGCATCGAAAGCATCCAGTCGCGAAGCAGGGCAGTGGGCGAAAGCCTTGCAGAAAGCCAGCTGAAAGTTTGGGGAACAACTGCCCTTGTTTACATGCCGACTCCTCCAGCCTTTCCTCGCTGATTAGACACAATACTTATCGGCATGCCTTAGCTCTAACACCTGAGTGAGACTTGCTTGCTTCTCCTTTGCGCCTCGTCCATTGCAATGGTGAAGACTTGACCATGGCCTCCACGCAAGCTTCAAAACAGTGCAACAGTGCAATCGAAGGGCTCTTAGCCTCTGCGGAGGCATCGGAGGAAGTCCTTCTCGGGCGACTGCGCCAGAACCACTGCCAGCCGACCCGGCAACCGACTCAGTTTGCTGCGAACATGGTGAGACGATCGGCTGCAGGATATATAAATCGAGTAGGGATGTTTCACATCTGCTTTCGAGCAATTGATACAGCTGAAGACATGCCTGCGGCGATTCCTCCACATCTTGTGTGACATTTAGCTCTCATAGTCCATAGCTTTCAAACTTCTACCCAGACCGAGAATTTCCCTGCATCAGCGGCGCCCGATGCAGCTGAGTGCAGTCGCTGGAGCTACCACCTCCGGAGAACATCCGAGGATCTAGCCAGAGCTGAGCGATACTGTAGAGGTCGCACATGGATAAACCGCCTAACACAGCTGAGACCTAGCAGGATAACAATGCAAATTCCAACCATCAAACACATGAAGAGCCGCGAGCTTGTGATGCCGCGTTTTCTTGGCCAAGAATGAATTTCAAAATCTGTCCACTTTCTCATTGCGCGTTATGCTGTTTGGGCATCTTGAATGTTGTAGTACTTGCCGGACTTACAAGGCATGGCATTTTCCCCTCGCCCATTGCAGCAACCAACCCCAAACCCTGACAGCGCAGAATCACTTGGGCGTAGGCTCCGTGTTGCCGTCGGTTTCGGGGTAGAGTGCTTTGGGGCCTTGGGCTGCGCGGAATCTCCGCCTCTGCCCGGAGCCCAGCGTGAAGCACCGCCGCAGAAAGCTCAGCCCCCACAGGGTCGGCGGCAACTACCAGCGCCCAAGCCTTCGCCAGGGGCGTGAGGTCCAACTTTATTTATGCTCTTGTAGCTCTGCGTCTGTGACTTATGAGGAATTGCCGACATCATGTGCGCTGCGAGATCCGCTCTAGAGCTGTGTTCGATACTTCTGTAAACCAGCCTGTAGTTGCCCGAAAGCATGAGCCCGCGCATCGCTCCCGAGCGAAGAACCTTGGCTCGCGCCTCGCCGTGCCGGGGCTCATCGACCATAGCACGCAGTGTTCTGATACTCAGGAAGATACACTCCAGACCTGAAGAGGACATGCTTGATCCGATGGCGGCAGGGGGCGGCAGCACCATGTAAATTCATTGCCGCTGATCTTGGCCGTGGCAACTCACAAATCCACGTCGAGTCCAACAACCCCCCGAATATGCCGAGCCCTCAGCACAAGAGCTTCAGGCCGGCCTCTGTTATGCGATCATTGATCTGCACCTCATCCAGGGGAGTCTCTTCGCGCAGCTAGCCCAGCTTCCCACATAGCTTACATGACATCACTTACATCTTAGGGATAGCGGATCAGATTTCTTTCAAGATTGGGCTTGCAAGATCTGCCTGGCTCATGCGAAATGTGATGCTTGATTGCTGGCATGGGCTCAGACTTGCGAGATGTAAGCCAAACCAGAACGCCAAACTCAAACCGATGGCCTTCGTCTCGTCGGGTGCCGTGTCGTTCCAGTCCTGCTAAGACCCGACTTGTCCCATCCAGTCAGGAGCGTCGTCACTGCGCGTGTCTCGACCTGTCCCCCTGTGCACGACTAGACAAGCCTTTGCATCAACGTGAGCCTCGACATTCACTGCAAAACTGACTAGCAGCAACGCTGCAGCGGTGACGGCCTTCACCAGACCTTCATTGATGCCTCAGCAACGGCCACTCCAGTCCAAAAGGCATGTCGTTCCCGGCCAAGCTCCCAGCATTCAATGAGCAATGTCTTTCCATCCTTGTGATCCACATCGATGCCCAACCTGGCTGAAAAATCTGTGTTCAACTTGAACTGGGAGTGCGGTGTGCTCCTGACCTGTTGTTCGAGAGGGTGCCTAGCAGCTGGTGCCATCTGTTCAGGCCACTCACTAGTCTCACCATGAGCTCACCTGGAGCGACATGTCCGAGCAGGGAATATAGAACTGGAGCTGAACAGGGGTTTATTCCTACTCCTAGTACCAATCGCAGGCGCTCATTGGAAGTATAGAGCCTGGATGCTCGAGACAGCTCGACACAATGATATGCTGAAGATGACCAGCCGCCAGTCCGAAGCCCCCGCAAAGACGCTGTCCCAACAACACCTCCCCCAAGCTGCGAATCTTGCTGCACCGCCGACCTCAAAGCCCTGCCCGACTGAGAAATGCCATGCCCTCAAAACCCACCTTTTGCCCGTGCTCCTGTCCAGGGTGATCTCGTATTCGGAGCCGCCTTGTTTTCCGGGACGTTCGGTCTACGTCTGCCATCACATACCATGCTTTAACATTTATGGTCTACCAGAATACGCTGCAGTCGCAGTGCGCTTTGCGGTCAGTGCCGACACATGGTCGCTGGCAATGCTGCCTGTCGTAGCTGCTTCCAGCTCGGGTTTCCTTCCATCGAGCCACGTACAGTACAGCTGAGTATTGCAACACATCCACCATATCCCCTGTGCCCTCAAGCTCAAGCCCTCAGCAGACCAACAAAGCCTAAACCCTAAACTGTAACCCCGATTTCTCCCTGCTTCGAAACCAGAACCTCCAAGTTGGCCCAAACTCCCTGTTTCCAGGGCTTCGTGCATTCAAGCCGATTCCCCGCAAAACCCACGTTCTTTCTGACGGGTGAGGATCTTGGGCCCGGGCTCGCTGTGACCTTGGCGGACTTCTCCATCCTCGAGAAAGCTTTGGGCTGTCACGTCTCAGAAAAAATAGAAGCCCCCAACCAACGGCGCAGAAGCAAGTGCGCGTGCGGCCCTGGCCCGGCCGAGGCTTGGGCATCCGCTCTTTCTCCCGGGAGGCCGCAGGCGCCACGGCCATTTCCTGCTAAGGCGCCCGTGCCCGGTCTTGGGAGAAGCACTGAAGTCTGTAAACGTGCGGCCGCACCTTTTCCTCTGAAACGCTGATGCGACGGATCACAGGTAGGGAGCACGGATTTCATGTATGTAAGTGCCACGACCCACGCTGCAACGTGCAGCATAGGAGGTGAGGGAACATAGGAGACGGGAGACGGGAGGACGGCTTGGAGGAAAGGAGGGGAGGGAAGGAGAGAGAGGGCGGGAGATGTTCGATCGGACATTTCCAACAGCCAGTCTACAAAAGGGCAAAGGCCCTCGCTCTTCACCCCATCAAGCTCCCATGTATCCAAATTCGAAACCGCAAGGTCTAGACTTGTCGACCCCCAAAGCGGTCCGTGGCGTCTGCTTTGGTCGGCGACGGTTCCTTCAGATTCATCCAGCTGAATGCTGCGGGCCTTCTTTCTCAAGCCAGTCTCTGCCAAGTCTCTACTGCCTGCCTGCCTGCCTGCCTGCCTACTTACCGTGCCCACCTCGGATTGCTATGAAATCGAAGCCAACTAACCAGAAACTCAAGTCTTTCAAGCTTAAAGGCTCGCCAGTCAACAGGACGTCCAATGCGCAAAAAGCTTGAATGCCTAAACGCCTACCACTCTCCTCGACCCCACTCTCCAAACATCCTGGCGCCTTCTTCATCGTCGACTTGTTCTCCTCTGCTTCCACGCTGGCATCGTGGGAGCAACAGCTGGAGATGATGCCCATGGCCTCGGGCAGACTTATTGACATTCGTTAAGTTGTTCGCGACCTAGCCTCCCAACCTGACCATCAACCTTGCTGGCAGTCACAGGCTGGTCGGACACTGGTAGCTTATGCGCACTGCGCCGTGCCCCACCCCCTCCCTCCGCCCCGGCCCGCCCCTCACCCCCCGGCCAATATGCTTTGACCTCATTTGGGCTCGAAGCTTCGCGAGGCCGCGGCTGCCCACCCGCAGCTGAGAAGCGGGCGCCTCCAGGGCAGCAACTTGAGGCTTCCCTTGGGCTTGGGCCTGCTGGGTTTTCGAGAGAAACTGCTGGAAGGCCGGCTCACGAAATCCGAGTGGTCGGAGTAGATTATTTCGGTAGCAGTAGAAGTAGCTAAGCAAGCGTAAGCTAGTTGTGCTAGCGGTAGTATGCGGTAGTGCTATAGGCTTGGAGCCAGTGCCCGTACCAGCACTAGGGCCAAGGCCAGTGCCAGCAGTCGTCGTCGTCATCGTCGTC